AATATATAATATATTCATGAGTTCCTTCTCTATTGTGCCAAGTTCTACATGCCCACAGCTGCAGATGAGGCTGTTTCATCTTCTGTTCCTTTAATGCCTTTTGCATGGAACAAAAGGACTCTCACATTGGGATAATCCAGGTCTCAACTGATCAATGGGCATCAACCATAATGTCCATCACTCAGGATACTCACTGCAGTGTGATTTCCTAATCCAAAGCAATTCTGAGCTGAGCGTGTTTCAGACTGATAAAAATTTCTTCTCAGTTGAAGCAAGAGGATTTGGATCCATGTGCAATTTCTCCTGGTGTCTTGGGGACTGACTGGAGCAAAGAACTTCACTGCATGCACAGCTTTCATAACGAGTTGTTATGGTGAACTCTCAGAGCCTTATTTTCTGTTACTTGCAATACAGAGAGTAGAAGAAAGACAGATCTTGACTAAACCCTGAGTGCTGGTGACTGAGAGGTGATACATCTGTGTGTTGAAGTTGCTGCAGTAATCCTGTATTACCAGATGCTACTTAGAAGGTGAGACAACCTTCAGTATTTTCTTTAATGGCTTTTAACAACGTTTTGCACTGATAGAAAGACCAAAGGTGAAGGTGGTGGGCCACACTGAAGCTGTTGCAGCCAGAGTGTGTCATTCTTCAAATAGCTATATTAGTGGAAAAGTGGAACACAGTGCTCTAAAAGAGCTGCAAGCAGCTGAGTATTTCAATGTCTGCAGTTCAGAGCTGGCACTGCAGAGAGGGAGCAACCAGTTCCCAGCTAATTGATGTACTGTGTCCAGCTCTGGGGCCTCCAACATGGAAAAGACATTGACCTGTTGGAATGAGTCCAGAGGTGAGCCACTTTCCTGATCACAGGCCTGGAGAACCTCTTCTATGATAACAAACTGAGAGTTTTGAGACTGTTCAGCCTGGAGAAGGTCCCAGGGAGACCCTAGAGCCCCCGCCAGTACCTAAAGGAGACCTGAAAGAAATCTGGATAGGAACTTTTCACAAATGCATGGAGGCTGTGGATTCCCTACCACTGGAAGTGTTCAAAGCCAGGCTGGATGAGGGTCTGAGTAACCAGGCTTATTGGAATGTTCCTTGCCCATGGTACAGTGCTTGGAACCAGACAATCTTTTAACCCAAACCATTCTGTGATTCTATGATGATAGAGATAAATTGTATGGTATATTTGTTGCCTCAGGAAAGGCACCAAGCACCAAGGACTCCTCTCTTTGGAAGTTCTTTCTGTAGATGGCATCTGAGACACATTGAAGTGAGAGAAGCAGGCATAACTGCTGGGCTATAGTGGTACTTTAAAACACAAATCCTATCTCAGTACTCTTTGGTCTGATATAAAATAAGCAAAAATAGAAAGCACTGGATAACACATTTTTCTAGAAAAAAATAAAGCTGTGTCTGACCTGGATGCTGCTGAAATTATCCTGATGATAAGAGGATTTCATCTAACAATGGTAACCTTCCTTTCCTTAAGATCAATCATCTGGTAAATAATTTGGACCAGGGATCTTAATTTTTGAAGGGACTGTATCAGCTCCACCTCTTAAAATTCCTAAGAAATAACAGGAATTCTTGCATTAAAATCCTGTTTGTAAGTGCTCTTTACCACTTGTTTTTAACAGTGTACTCAAAAGTTGCTGCTAAAGAAACCAACCTGTCCCACATGACCTGTCCCACATGTCATGTCCTGGTGCATCTGTAAAGGCAATGGCAGGTTCTCTTCCTCTGTGATGAAGAAGTAAAGAGAGGGTCCTTTAGGATTACAGAGGGGAACTATTCAAGGCTTGATTCTAGATTCAGAAGAAAAGAGAAATCAAAACTCTACTCAGTGCATTAATGCATTTTAAGGTTAATGTAAGTGATGTAGATTCTTACAAAGCTCAGAGATGAACTTTGAAGATAAAACTTCCTTAGCTCCTTGTCAGTGATTAGGGAAGAAGTCAAAATATTTTTTCAATTCCTTGGACAGTGTAAATCAAAATTGCACATTTGCTACAAAATCCATTGTTTGCAAGTTCACTTTCACTTACAATCATTAATCAACAAGATAACCTTCACAGCCTTTTTCCAGCAGAGGGAGTCTGTCCATACCAAGTGAGAGCATGCACTGTAGTCAAGTGCAAGCACGAGTTTGAGGCTGAAATAGTTACAGTGCCAGCAGGAGACAACCATTATCAACCATTAGCACAGATACAAGTTGTCAAATTTTTACTGTGTTGTTCATATATGACTTATTTTTATATATATTGGGCAAATCAGTATACTCTGAAACCCATGGCAGAGCTTAGTCTGGTGTTAGGGACTGCAGTATTTACCCCGTGGTCAACAGAAAACCCTGATCCAGCTCCCTCCTAGTCCTTGCTATAGGAAAAATAATACATTTCTTGCTCCATGTTTATTCTGACAGAAGTTTCTCAGAGACAAAATGCAACATCTTTATTCTTATAAGCAGTGTAAGTACTTTTCACAGGCAACATAGCTAAAAATAAGCCATATTTTAAAACATATTTCAAAGCATCTCTGATCATCAAATGCAATCTCTTCTCTACAACCGCTTGGTGAGGTGGGTGGCATGACCACCCCAATGGTGGCTGGTCTGGTTCAGAGTCTGGGATGTGGGGAGGTTTGTGCTGCTTTGCTGGGCTGAGAGCTCCCATGGCAAAGGGCAGGGACATGCTCCTGTTGTGCACAGCCTTGCTGGCAGTGGGACAGTCATAAGCACCTGGGGAGCAGCAGGAGTCTTCAACCACTCGGCTTCTTTGCACAGGTAATGTGAGTTACAGTCCGTGGCCTCTCACTGCTATTGCAGAGGAAATCTGGACACATAAAGCCATATTCAGCATAAATGGCCACATTGGCAGGATCAGTTCATATGTCGTGTCAAGAAAATGTGTATATTTGCTCAGAAACAAAAAGCAGGTAAAACAACTGTATTTCATAAAAGAAACAAAGTCAGTCACAAGAAAGTCAAAACAAAACTGATAGTAATTGAAAAAGGATGATTTGGCTGGGAGATTCAGCAGGAGACAGAATCAGAATTGACCTACTGACCTTCTTTCCGTTTTACACTTATCACTGGCTTACTAAATTAGTTGCTAATTTCATTTTTATTGTGCCTGTTCACCAAGCCACATATATATATATATATATATATATATATAAAACATATGCACTATATATACACACATGCATATATGTGTGTATACACACACACACACACACACAGACACACACACATGTGCTGACAAGTAGGCATTTGTATACCTGCATCTCCCAGAAGAAATGTACTGTTCTGTGGATTTCTGTCCACCACTCCTCCTGCCTGGCCACAAACTTACTTTTCAAGCTGCCCCTGGGATTCTCTGCTTTCCCTCAACTTTCTTGCTCAGAAACAGCCTTCTCCCCACCAATCCCCAGCTTTCCTAAAACAGCCTTTTCCTACAGAGATGCTTAGCTGACTGCCTGCGGCCCCATTTGTAGCCAACATCTTGCAAGCTCAAACACATGTTCAAGCAAGCCTGTGCTGTTAATATCCTAAATAAAAATAAAAATAAAAATAAAAAAAAATAAAAATAAAAATAAAAATAAAAATAAAAATAAAAATAAAAATAAAAATAAAAATAAAAATAAAAATAAAAATAAAAATAAAAATAAAAATAAAAATAAAAATAAAAATAAAAATAAAAATAAAAATAAAAATAAATTGGATATAGTTTAGATTAGATTAGATATAAGATGGACATTCCCATGTTGTGGGAAACCTCATGAAAAGGCAGGAACAAGTGTGAGTCTGCACTGTGGCAGTGCCAGCTGGACTTCTGGATTAAAGCAGAGGAGGAGGATGCCTGTGGATTAATGCTGGAGCACCTCTGCAGCTGTGACTTGGTGCCTGGCTTGGGAGCAGAGTTGGTGATGCCAGGGGTGAGGAGCTCAGGCTGAACTTTTTCATGGGGTGGTCTGATTAGTGCATCCCTGGGGAGGAGCGTGGTGGAGAGAGCCCAGAGCTGCCTTTGGCAGGGAGCTGGTTTGTAAGAGGTGTTTTGGGTTCATAGGGGGTCTGGAAATTGAGGTGTTTTTGGGAGGCCAAAGTTTCCCTAAGTGACAGCCAGCCAGAAGACCAAAGGATCCATTTCCCAGTGAGATAGAACACATGGCCATGTCTGTAAGGAGCTGGTTGGGAGGGCAGTGGCTGAGGGGAAAGTTTGTCTCCTGGGAATATTGCACCTGGTCACAGAGAGTTTTGTGGCTTGGATGGACTCCCTCCTTATTATGGCTCTTTCATGTAAGTGATAAATGTGTGTATTGGGGGAGCTTTTGTGCACCAGAGATTTTATGGCCCTGGTGTCCTGTGGGATGAAGGCTGGTACAACAACCACATGTGGCAAACAGGAGGACATTTTCCTGCTGTGCTGCAGAAGAGCCAAAGGAGAAGGGTTGCAGGAGGCTGTGCCTATGCAGTGACACTGGATTTACAACCTCCTCATCACCTTCCACAGCTGTGCTTCTGCTCTCACTTTCCCTCTTCTGCTAAAAAAGCATTTTTCCCTCTTTCTCCCTAGGCTGGGCTACAGCTGATGTTTTTCATATCATTGCTTAACTGGCCAGTTTCCCCATCCTGTTCTTTCAGCCTCGTGTCTCTGTCCAGAGGGTTGTTCACCCTGATGTCTTTCCCCAGCTAACTATCCTGACTCACCCGGGGTACGTGCACAACGGCAGCAAGTGAGCCAGAGAGACTGAGAGAACAAAAATTAACAAAACAATGAAGAAGATAAAACTGCAACTTTTAAAAAATATGGAAAGAACACCACTAGGTTTACAAAGTTAAACTCTCAAATGCTGGACAAATCCAGACCTAAGGCTGCCTTTGGAGGGATAGTTCTGCCCCCTTTTCCCTTCCCCCACACAATGTGTATTATGTGACATGATTTAATTGTTTGGCTGCATACTACTTTTCCCACAGGACTTGTGCCTCATTTAGTGTAAATGCAGGACAGCGTCTGGGAATGAAGCTGGTCTCTGCATTTCCTGGACTAAGTGTGTGACTAGGAGCCCCATTTATCACCACCTAACCCAGAGACTACGCTGAATTTGGAGCTGACAGCTTCTTCATGAGGTCTTCTGGGGTGGCTTCCCTGCAGCCTCTGACTATTTATCACCACAGTGAGCCTAAAGGTGAGAAGCTACTGTTTCCAGGGAACTGGGGACTTTTTATTATGACTTGATGAAGTTTTTTTGAATACTCCATTGGCTCTGGCATTTGTTCAGAGTACTTTATGATTTAACTAACTGATGCAGCAGACTTCATTTGCTGTTCTGAGTGCTGGGTGCTTCTATAAATCTATAACCTAAATGTCTCCTACCAGGTGTCTAAAAACAAGAAACCACAAGCCAGAAGTGCAGATATCTCACCTAGATATGACTAAGAAACTTGATAGAAGCAGGGAGAGTTTCTAGTTCTTTCAGCAGCCATTTCTTTCCTCTGCTAGTAAATTATTCCCTGCTTTCCCACAGTCCTCTGCCTTAGGTTTCCATGTCCCAAATAACGCAGGACTTAGCTGCTATTTGACCCTGAATGAGCACACCAGATGAGCTCTCCACTGCCTGATCCTATTTAGAAGTCATATCTTGTAAACTTTTTTGACTATTCTGTTGCTGACTGTCCTTCATCAGAAAATGCCAGGTCATTCTCCTCAGAGTGAATAATCTTTCATTTTCTAACGTGAAACTTGCATCATGAGCTGGAGCATAGTAAAAAGAAATTCCATTCCACATTCTCAGAGATGATTTTCAGAGCTCTGTGTTGATTTTTGCAGCTTTAAAATCATATTTTCTCTCATTCAGCTGATACCCAATGAGCAAGGAAAAGCAAAGATTCTTGCTCAGCACTGTGGGGACAGCGCTCAGTCATTTTTTTATGCATTTGTATAATGGTTTAACATTTGCAGAAAAGCAGAACAATACTGCAGACAACCTCACCTGCACACCTCTCTGTGTTGAGACATATTTGCTTCAAGAACTGAAACTCTGAGAAGAAAAACATTTGGAACATGCAAACTACTTTCTCATGGTGCTTCTGCTTTTCCCAGATTTCTCCATTCTTCATCATCATAATAGAGGGATAGGAAAGCCTGTGGAGAAAGTTCTTACTGTTACTCCTGGCATTTCTGGCTTTATTACACTAGATTCTCCATGCCAAATTGCTAGACTACTTCAAAGGACTCTGATCAACTTGAAACATAGCCAATTACCTGTGAATTATAGATTGTTTCAGGAAATGCTCCTGCAGTCACTGCAGTTCCTGGGTTCATGCAGATAGTGTTAAGCTGAGCTCTGCTGACTTTTTTATCTTCATTATTGTTTTTGCATGTTCTTCTAGATGAAAGGCTTTCATAAGGGGGGCGGGGGTACATTTTTATATGCTAGAAATAAGCTTAGCAAATTGCATGGACAGGATATAAATTTGGAAAAAGTACTCCTTTTGAATGTTTCTTACAAAGGCCTTATAGGCTACTTGTAAAAAACCAAAAAGCAGACAACAAAAACATAGCTAATAACTACTAATATTAAAAGTTTTTAAAATTTCATGTATAATGTAACTACTTTTCTTCCCCCCACAGAAGATAGCATTAGACCTGGAAGCATTTTTAAATTTTGCATATTTAAACTTGTACCTTCAAAATCCATGCAAGAGCAAATATCCCTAATAACACTCCAAAGACTGGACTTTCATAAGATGGGCCTTTGTATTCAAATTCACTTTATTATTTATTTTTATTTTGGCGCTACAAGTTGTATTAAAATGTCAATGTTTGTTTTTCCTCAAGTCATAGCCAATGCATTTGTTTGTTCTTTATTCAATTGTTGTATGAATTTTGCAAGGCCAGAATTATTTGTTTAACTTTCTGGGCACTCTATCCAGAGAGCTATTATTTTATCAGCCACACTTCTATGGCACATTTCATAAAATCATAGAATGGTTTAGGTTAGAAGGAACCTTACAAAGCCCCTGCCATGGGCAGGGACACCTTCTGCTAGACCAGGCTGCTCAGGGCCCCATCCAGCCTGGCTTTGAACACTGCCAGGGATGGGGCATCCACAGCTTCTCTGGGGACTTTGTCTGACCACTGTGACTTTTCAAATATGATGGAAAGTGGCTTGGCAACAGCATCAGCCAGTGCCCTCAGGACCTTGGGATGCACCTCACCAGGTCCCAGACACTGGTGCTATTCACCTTCATCAGATGGTCCTGAACCTGCTCTTCACTTTATGGTGTGAGAACCTTCACTCCCTCAGCTATAAATTAGGTGTGGTGCTACAAAGATACTTACAAACAACAAACACAAACCTTGGGCTCCAAGTGTTCAGGGGAGTAGACCAACCTTCCTCAAGTGTCCAGGCTGAAACCAGCTCACCTGACACAGGGGCTATCTTGTCCTCTGTGACAAAATGCAGATGTTGCAATAATCCTAAACATCTAGAGCTCTAATTTGTCTGTAATGTGCTCATGAATTATTTGGATCAAGGCATAGACGTGTGATGTCTTGGCTGATGTAGTGCCTGGTATCTGTGATAACTCTGATGAAGTAAAAGCACTGGACACCACATTAAATGCAATGTAATAGACCTGTGGGTCTTGGAGCCACAGACATTTGACCATGGGATGTTTCTTTAAGCTAACTCCTGTGGAAAGTGGTTCAAGCACTGCTTGCAAATTCATCTCATTTAGGCCTTGCCATGAAATAATATTTTAGTTCCTTGCTTCAGGTGCAATGCTCAATATCAGCAGTGAACAACCAAACAAATGCTCTGCTTGGGTGTTCTATTCCTTCAGCACAAGAAGAGCTCAGTTGCCTGCCTGTGTGCCAAGCATGTATCCTAAGTTTGCAAGAGGAATGTTGAATTTCCTAACTAACTCTGGAATAAGGCAAAAGGAGTAAGGTCATAATGAAGGAAGGTCTGGACTTGACTGAATGTGGCAGCACTGTTGGCCTTTTGTTGACCTTTGGAAAAATCATTGCAGAAGATGTTCTGCTATTTCCATGGTCTCTAACAGTTTTGTAGAATATTTTATGCATGCACTTCTCTGTGGTTACTTTGACACACACTGACTTGCAGAAGTGCAGCATCTCTGCAGGCCTCTGGGGATGCTAACTGGAGCTTTTTACATTGGCAACATTGGTCATCACCTGGAATGACTTTTAAGTCATTTTAAGTGTGGAAGGAAATGAGGAATCCCAGGAAATGGTAGTTGCTCCATTGCCAAGACAAGCATCAAACCAGTGGTAAATAGATGAGGTAATTACAATTATCAGTATTATCGGCTGATTTAGCTTAGTCTAACTGAAAACTCTTCTGCAAGAGAAGGATATCCATTAGGTAGGGATTAATGTTGTGATGTGAAATGCATTCTGCTGCCTGAAAAAAAAAAAATGCAGAAGAAGTCACTCAGACCAGGAAGCAGCTTTCATAGAGGCTGGATTTCTGAAGCACTGTTTACAGAGAAGTGGTCCTTCTGGGAACTATTATTGCCCTTTTCTCTGTACTCATTACATCATCCAACCTGCAAAGGCATCTGCTTGCCAGATGCTGAGGGGTATTTGCTGGAGTACTGTTTATCTGAGAGTGAAAGTGTCACTTCATGCTAAAGGGCAGGCGTGGATGCAGCTGCCAGAGAAGATAAGTGAGTGTGAAAATGTTTTAATCTTTACATGGAGCCGATTTCCCCCACAAATTTCCACGAAAAACTTGTGGATCATGAAAAGCAGAAATCTTAAATTAGGGGATTTGAGTGTCTCAGAATTCAGTCCAAGTTGTGACTTGCTGATGAGGGGAGTTGCACCTCAGCTTGGTTATTCCTACAGCTACAGGGGAATCTGGCAACACGAGATCTTGATGCTGACAGGGGTGGAAAAGGGTCAGGGGAGTCTTCTGGCATAGTTTAAACGGAGCTTCAAAACCCGATTATCACAACTTCCTGGCAAATACCTCCAAGGAGGATTTTTCCACAATGAAAGATTTGAGGCTTTCATTGGTGTTCTCTGCTGGCTGTTGTAACAGAGGTGGTGCAGTGTAAAATGCCCTTCCTTACACTGAGTGATTCTGTAGTGTCACACTGGTTACTACAGGATGACATCTGCAAATAAAGCCGTGGTTTCATTCTTCGAATTTTATTTTTAGACATTCTTCTTTTGGATTCAGGGCTGTACCATAAATTCCTGCTAAATTACAGGAATGACCGCCACGGGTGCTCATTTTCGTGGAGAAAACCACGGCAGTCGGCGTGCGTGTAAATAAAAAAAGGGCCCCTGTTATATGCAGCGATCAAAGGAAGGTTTGTGTCTCTGAAAGTCTCTCGACTTTCTCTATTTTTCCTCGCCTGCCGGGGCTACTGGGATCCGCTGTCCCCGGCCGCCAGCCCTGCCCGCTCCCGGCCGCTTTTCCTGGAAAGCGGGGCAGGAGAGGGGGCGGGCAGCGTCGGATCCCGCGGAAGCCTGGCTTTCCCCGAGCCCCTTTCCTTTGGCTCTGCTCTGGGTCCTTCCCGGCCAGGCGGGGAGGAGAACGCCCGCCCCCCGCGGGGCCGCCGGGGGAACATCT